AGCCAACGTCAAAGTCATTTCTACTCTTTCCAACCGCCTCCCGAAGCCTGGTAGAGGCTAACTAAATATCGTATTACGCGCGAGGCCGGGTTCGTTTTCGGTCGTTCCCACAACAACAGAAGACTTGTCACCACAGGGTGTAATCATGGACTACAACAACACACAAGGTCGGGAGGACCAGCAGGGGACGACACGGGAGGACCAGCGGGAGACAACACGTTCTGCCCGTGGGTGGGACAGGGGTGGCTTTGCCACATGACACGGCGGAGGATGGGTGGCGAGTCGTCAATGGCAACATGAAAAATATGTAATATAAAAAGACAGTATCAAATTGGCCAGAGAGCGTAGCGACAAAAAAATGGGCCATAGATTCAAAGAAGGTAACAACCCCCCCCCCCATCAACCTCTGCTTGGAGAGTAATAGAATAGTATAAGGAGACGTATTTGATCGAAATTAAACGTGTACTTCTCGAGCCATTTCTTTCTTGAATAGTGCAGCTGACAGCGTAAGTTCTTGTTGTTGCCCCTGTTACAAGCTCGCCCATCTTGTCTGTGTGAATGAAGTGTGTAAATACAAACACAGCCCGTCTTCTTCTATCTGCAGCGATTTTAATCGTTGCGGCAGGACCTACCGCGTCTAGAAAACTCCCTTGCGTGTCTTTACAGACTTCTCCCACAGGCTTCCAGAAGTGCTAGTAGCCTCTACCAGGCTTCGGGAGGCGGCTGGAAAGAGTAGAAATCGGTCAAATAGAGAGATAACATGCCAGGGGAGTTGGTCCGCTAGAGAGTATACATTGTCGCAAACTGTACTCTCTACCGGACCAACTCCCCTGGCATGTTATCTCTCTATTTGGCCGATTTCTGCTCTTCACAGCCACCTCCCGAAGCCTGGTAGAGGCTACTAAGTGCTGGCCCAGTTTTCACACGGGGAAAAAGAAACGACACTGTTGTTTCCAATCACCGTGAGACAAGTCTGGGCGGAGACCGATCATCATTCACAAGCACCCGATACTTCACGTGTAAAAGCTAACTGCATCTGTACAAACACACTACACACCGCTAGTAACACACAGCTAGCCTCCACCAGGCCTTTCTACGGGAATACGGATCGTAGCAAGAAAAAGAGAGTAGAATTGGCCAAGGGAGTCCGGCCGCGGGGAGGTAGTTTCTTTCCCTCCGACCTACAAGGCGGCCGAACTCCCCCGGCAAATATTCTCCTATACATGTATGATGTATAGCCAGCGTAGTTAGTCTGGTAGAGACTAACACATTAGTCTGGTAGAGACTAACACACAGCCAGTTACAAAGTCATTGGTACTCTCCAAGCAAAGGTTTGGGTTTGGGCATATTTTTGGCGTCAGTTTAGGCTTTTTTTTAAATCAGGGTTTCTTTTTGCACTGGAATTTTTTTCACCCAACACAACAACAAAAAATTCCAGTGCAAAAAGGAAACCCCGATAAAAAAAGCCTAAAAACACGCCAAAAATTAGACAAACCTCTGCTTGGAGAGCATTGGGAGTGTAGGATGATTAGCGACAACATCAGAATAGCACACCGTCAGCTAATTTTATAGTGATTATCGATTGGAGCACGGCGATATCCGGAAAAACCGGCTGGCGCTAGCCTCTATCAGGCACCGCGGATCGCTGGAAAAATAGTAGAAATTGGCCGAAATTAAAGGGATAGAAGATCCAATTTGCGACCCACGGATTGGATCTTCTATGGCCCGGGATCTTCTCTGGTATACTATCACTTTGTTTCGGCCAATTTCTACTATTTTTCCAGCGATCCGCGGTGCCTGGTAGAGGCTAGGCTGACGGGTCTGGAGACGAGGACGACATTTGTAGGCCAGCATGGGTCCGCGTTAAATCCTGCTAATTCAATCCAGCCGGTCCGGCGCAGCGGCAGTTAATCAAGATACAGATAATGAAGACTGTTAACGTAGATAATCTGCCGGTAATTGTGTAATAGATTTGGATCAGAACAATACACTGCTGTGTACAAGGTATCAATCAAGGTGATTATGGGACAATGGACTAGAGAAACCTATTAAAACCTTTTCTGTGCTAAACACGCGTCTTTTGTTGGAGATACCGCTACAGAGTGAGACAGTGTCCTCTTTGAGTCACATCCAATTAAATACCATCATTAGACACTGAGAAGTTGTCTAGGCATATTCAATTAAAAGAAACCCTTTTTCTTCTCAGTCAGAATTAACCAATCATGCAGCAAACCGGCGGCATGGACACGCATGTGTACCAGAATGTTAGCCTCTACCAGGCACCGCGGATCGCTGGAAAAATAGTAGAAATTGGCCGAAATAAAGGGATAGTAAATTGGGTCGCAAATTGGATCTTCACTCTGGTCGGATCTTCTCTGATATACTATCCCTTTATTTCGTCCAATTTCTACTATTTTTCCAGCGATCCGCGGTGCCTGGTAGAGGCTACAAGAATGTATGAACAGCAGCTTGGGCACAAAATTGCTGCTTTGGCAAACGCCTCTGAACCCCTACCGATAATATCCATGGAGATTTGAGGTACTTTCTGTAGCAGCGTGAGGTTTGGTAATGTTGTAACTTGAGTACCAGTCAAAGCTGGGCGCAGCGGTGAGTGAGAAAAGTGGGGTCTGGTGCACGGGGAAACACAAATCCTATCGAGTACGGGCAAGGTGCGGTTTGGCAAAGTAATGAGTTTTGCAGACAATGCTGGGTGTGCATGTACAATAGTACGTGTGGATACAAAATATCAAAATGCATGGACGTGCGCTGCTTGATTTAACGTTTATGTCCCGGCGCCAATATTCGATTATAGCCGTGAACGTCAATCTCCAAGCAGAGGTTTGGGTTTAAGGAATTTGGCGAGTTTTTAGGCTTACTTATCGGGGTTTCTTCTTTGCACTGAAATAAAAGAGGGTCTGCATTTTCGCCCTAGATGACGAATTACGTCTCAGAGCTGATTACAACTTTACGCTTTGCGGCTAACGTACTATTACGAATTAGGTTGATTTTTGGTGAGGCTGCCTACGGATTACGAAGACTAAAAAGGCCCCATAAAAAAGCAAAAAAAAAAACACACTCCAAAACTAAGCCAAAACCCACACCTCTGCTTTGAGAGTATTACGTGTTCACAGGGGCACGGACAAGGCCGGGGCCCGCGGTCCGGCGGAGTTCGGGGATGAGTCAGGGTTCCGTGTAATCAACAACACGTACAGCCATGCCCATGGCAGCCAGAAACGCTGACGGGTGACCTCGTCTAAACTGTAACATTTGTGCCGTCCAAAGGCTGTTTTTCATTTTTGACGGGCCCCCAGATGCTCTGAGAGTGCACCCTCCTTAATTCTTTCAACGTACATCTATCAAGCTCTACTAGATCAATGATAAATTATGTAGAGTAGAGTAGAGTAGAGTAGAGTAGAGTAGAGTAGAGTAGAGTAGAGTAGAGTAGAGTAGAGTAGAGAAGAGTAGAGTAGAGTAGGTAGAGTAGGTAGAGTAGAGTAGAGTAGAGTAGAGTAGAGTAGAGTAGAGTAGAGTAGAGTAGAGTAGAGTAGAGTAGGTAGAGTAGGTAGAGTAGAGTAGAGTAGAGTAGAGTAGAGTAGAGTAGAGTAGAGTAGAGTAGAGTAGAGTAGAGTAGAGTAGAGTAGAGTAGAGTAGAGTAGAGTAGAGTAGAGTAGCGTAGCCTTTACGGTCAGGTAGGACTGCATCTGTCCAGTTGAAGGTGCCTAGAAATTTGTTTCCTTGTACTGTACGTGATAGTTATTAACTTATGATATCCGTATACGTAACCACGGTACACGTAACCAATAGTGTTTTCTGCAGATATCCGCAAAGCATATTGGACGTCAGCCAGCCTAATGCGATTACTACACACTCCAGAATACTCAGAAGTCCCTGCTAAAAAGCGTTACAGCATCTGTCTCTGCATATATACACATGTGCATAAGTATATATATATTATATATGATAGATTTGTAAACAGTGACGGCGTCCTGGTAATTTTTTGTGTACTTTCGACATTTTCCAGACAGGAATATTTTTGTGACCGGGAAATGCTAAGAAAGGGTTTTGATTTGATGGAAATCTCCCAGGGAGGTATTTGTTTACATGAGCGCGGACGCTAATGTGGTGTTTCTGAAGACAAGCACATGTTTCATAGCCTCGCTCCACCAGGCCTTTCTACGGGTCCTGACATTCAGCAAAAAGGAGAGTAAAATTGGCCAGGGCCTCCGAGGTCAGTCAAAGCCCAAGGCGGCCAAACTCCCTGCGAAATATTCTCTTATAGCCAGCGTAGTTAGTCTGAAAGAGACTACATGTTTCATAGCCTCCACCCAGGCCTTTCTACGGGCCGTGGCATTCGGCAGAAAGGAGAGTAAAATTTGTCCAGGGGAGTCAGTCCGCGGAAGGTTGTTTCTTTCCCTCCGAGGCCAGTCAAACCCCAAGGCGGCAAAACTCCCCTGTCAAAATTATTCTCTTACATATAGCCAGCGTAGCCTATTAAATAGTGACTACACGTTTAATACGGACGTGTGTACTTTTCAGAATGCTTGCAGCATCCCCTAGCCTCTACCAGGCACCGCGGATCGCTGGAAAAATAGTAGAAATAACCCGTGGGTCGCATATTGGATCCCCTCTGGCCGGCTAACTCCCCTGGTATACTACCCCTTTATTTCGGCCAATTTCTACTATTTTTCCAGCGATCCGCGGTGCCTGGTAGAGGCTAGGCATCCCCCACCACCATGTGTGCTCATACAAATTATACAGGCCAGACATCGGTAGCCTCCGTAGCAGGCTTATAGAACTGGGGGTTTGGTGGTCTTCGGCTGTTTTCTGATTAGCTAGCCCAGTTCAAAAAACGGGGGTAATTCAACCAGGCCGGCTATGTTGTCTACTAGTATATGCAATCAGAAAATAACACATAAAAGCTCCCCCAAAGACCCCCCAAAACCCGCCAGTTTTTGGCATGCTGTGGAGGCTAAGAGACATCTAGAAGTAACATCACGTACCTGTTAACAACGGCAGAAGAATTAACAGGAGAGCCGCCTGCTCCAGGGATGATCCCATTGTGAGGAGGTCGTCTGTATTGATATAAAGAACGGAGACTAGAACGTGATGGTAGGTGTGGGGTTGTCAGCGGGCTGCTCCCAGCTGTCGACGGTCACACTTAATTTTCGTCGGCTCCTGAATTTTAATAGCTCCGTTCCTCTTTCTACTCCAAGCCAGCAGGGGAAAGCACACGGCACAAGGGTAGTTGTAGAGCTAGTCTAGGTCCGGATTATCAGTCCCGATGACACTCAGTAACTCTCTCACACACGCGCGCGAGCACCCTGTCCTTATGGATCCGCCTCTCGCCTGTGCATCAGCGCCGCACAGTCAGTACGTACGTGTAGCACGCAGGTCCGCTACCACGCCAAGACGCAACCAACGGTTCAGCTGGACGACTCCACCAAAAATAGCCACCGCCCCAAAATGCATTCCTGTACGTCACTTGCTGTGGCTGGCTCTGATTTCTTACCCTGCCAGGCCTGGTGACGACGCAGCATCCCTCTGACGAAAGCGCCCCTGATTAGTCGGGAGGGAGGTCGGCAGGCGAGAGCCCGCATGTCACTCTGCGGTGGGGTGGGTAACTACGGACCCCGCCCAGGTTCTGAGATGGTACAGCCCGGGTAATGGGCCAAGCCGAGGGAGATCCCGGGCTCCAGCAATCTCCAAGCAGATCCTAGGGTGGCATAAGGCTGTTAGCCTCTACCAGGCTTCGGGAGGCGGCTGGAAAGAGTAGAAATCGGCCAAATAGAGAGAGATAACATCCCAGGGGAGTTGCTCCGCTAGAGAGTACATTTTGCCAACTCCCCTGGACAATTTCTACTCTTTCCAGCCGCCTCCCGAAGCCTGGAAGAGGCTAGGAGGGAGGGCTGGGACTCAAGTTGAATTTAGCGGGCAGACAATTTACTAGTACTCGGTCTTTGAACTTCATCTCCACCATAGGGCGGTGTGTAGGCTGGTTTCACGTTGATGAGAGCCTCAGACATAATCAGTCGCTGATAATGGTGTTCTGTCTGTTGGGACCGACGTAACGTTACGTTAAACATTCGTAAGGCAACTTGCCAGGTTTCGAGAATAGTGCAGCTTTCTCGATTTCTTACAAGTAGTAATTTTGACCATTCAATTTCGTTTTGTTAGAAAATCATAACGTTACAACGTGCGTGTACTGGCAACACATGGCTTCTTGCACGAAGATGTTAGAATCGACATAGCCTTGTCAAAGGGAAGTGACAGTCTGGTACCGAGTACAACTCTGGACCTCACCCAAAATGTCCACAACCCTCCAAGATCGATGCACTAAACAGTATCGAGCAGAGGTGTGGGTTTTGGCTTATTTTTGGCGTGTTTTAATGCTCTTTTTAATCGGTCTTACTTTTTTGCCCTGGAATCTTTTTTATGCCCCCCCCCCAAAAAAAATCCTGTGCAAAAGAGAAGGCAAAAATAAGCCAAAACCCAAAACAGTGTCAAGACAAGACAGAAGGGGTGTTGTGATGACATGAGAGATTACAGTTTCGGTCAAACTTGTCTATTTTTCATATGTTTTGTACATGACTATTCTTAACAATGATCCATGATGTAATTCATTAAGATCAACTTTCACGACTACTAATAGGGATGTCACACTAAAAATAGGGGGCGCCAAGGATTATCAAAATGATTCCATGTTATAGAGTAGATTCTTCCGGTCAGAATGATTCCTTTCGCGTAAAAATTGGACAAAGTTGAGATTTTCTAGAATTCTCAAAGTTTACGATTTTGACTAACTAGGCCAAGTCCTCTTCAAAAGGGATTCGAAAATAAAAGACCTGTTTCTGTCTGAGCTTAACTAAGTCTTCAAGGTTAGAGTCCAGCCTTCAAGGGAGGCCGGGCCATCCGGAAGTTCTGGACTACCCAGGATAAGATAACGGGCGCAAGACAATTTCCAGACGTTCAACGCTTACTTACATCATAGCACAACCTCGGGCCTCTCTTCTACAATCTTGCTGAAGCCATGAAATACCGAAGAAACCGTGAACGTGAACCTGACTGGAAGATATGATACGTTTCAGACGAAAGCAAATCGGCTCTTGAGGGATATTTTGCTGCTGGCAGCTGACTACCAGAGTGACTCATATCTTTAAAGGATGGCTGCACTAATTGACTTTAATTGATGGTTATCGGAAGGTACCAATTCTCTTCGGGATTTCAACTGAGTGTTTAGGACTGATTGTTTGTTTGTTTATCGGTTAGAGAGATTGTCCCCTGTGGTAGGACGGGACTGCACACTGTGTACAGGTGACTAGACTCATCGGGTTGCGTTCAGCATCGCTGATTTGGTTATTTGATAATTCAAATGCAGACTGAATGGGTTTATGAAGGCTACGCCCAAAGCACGGTGGGGAGGATTGCGAGGCGAAAATGATTTTCAAATAAGAAACTTGCTTTGTTGTGTTGTTCCTGTCAATTTATGCAATGGCTGGGTAGGCAATGACGAATCAACGTAAAGTTTTATATTTACAAATGCAGTTTCAGTCTTTATAATAATTTTTTGCTCATCATTTTCCTAAATCCGCCACCCTCTCCGGTACACAAACTGTTTTTTTTTTAGAAACAGGCGGTAAAATAATAATAAACCCAAGTTGAGTCCCATTTCACGCCTTCCACCACTATCTATAGACTATGACCACCCTACAGTGTAAAGACAGAAAGCTAATCAATTGAGTTAAAGATGGAGATTGAATGCAGGGTCTTGAGATGTATTCAATACATGTTCGGACCAGGAAGTCACCAAATCGAAAACCCTTTGTGCTGCTCCCTTCGGTCTGCTGCTGGGAAATGAGATAAATTATTTTTCTGTGGAACATCTATGGCAATCGATGAATCTGCTCCATTCCAAGAATATGATATACTATTGAAAACCCCTTCCGTTGTTATTGATTCACCACGCCGTCATTGTGTGGCTTTTTGTTCACTCTGCTCGATTTTACACTCCCATTTCTTCGGCCATCCAATGCGATTTCAGGGCAGCGAAACTGAAAATATTCTGAATAAGGTAGTCTTCGTGATATTGACACATACTACTTCACATTAGCACATTTGAGTCAGTATTTCATACTTTGGGAATTCAAAACTGTAGAAACTAGCCCAAAGATGAGTCCTTTATTTTCTGGGTGGTAACCTAAAAATCAGCCCAGGGCCCTTCCAGTGACCATTTTCCGTCAGAATTTGGGGTATTTTTGCTCCATGAGGGGCAATATACATTGGGAGAGTGTGGTTATAACTCTGTATGTAGATAAATGACTAGAATATTGGCTTTGAAAAATCGGGTTTTCAAGCCCTAAAAACTGCACTGGATGTCTTCGAATGGAACAAACACTTTTGGGATTCAGATTAATCTATAAAGGTTCCGGGTCGGAGTTTAATTCTGACCAGAGTCTAAGTAAGTGCGCAGTAAATCGCCGGATCTGCGAGGTTGTCACGCTAGGTTTGGCTCCCCATAGCTCGGCGATCGCTGTAGATTTTCAACTAGGTTTTGAATTGATCAAAAAGCCTTGGGATTGTAGTGTTTTTCGGCGCGGTGAAGTTGGACGGCCAGCGAAGCGTTTTTGGTATTAGTCCGCGAGCAAGGGTGATGCGGTTTGTCACCTGATGACCCAAATAGCTGCGTTCTATGTGGAATTTCTAGGGGTTCGCGTCACCGGATTTTGCGAAAAACTTATCGCAACAACCTATATTTTTTTTCTGTTTTTCAGAAACAGAAAGTAGTAAGCTATTTCAGCATATAAGCCGTTAGCCTGGGAAAATTCGTTTTTTCCAAGCAGGTCCGTTGAAAAAACTGCGAAAAAACTACATTTTTCGTATCCAAAATTTACGTTTAACTACAGTTTCTACCCAAATTATGGAGTCGACGGACAATAACCAAAATTGTATCGGAAGCCGGCTGGAAACCTCCGTTGACTGATGTAATGAGATTTCCCGGCGTACATTTTTTGGTGGAGTTATAGCCCTTCGGTCTGAGGGTGTCCGCCGGATCCAAAATCGTGAAAAAAACTCCGGTCCGAGACCTAAAGGTAACGTTTGCAAAGCAAATGCATAATATTTACCTTCGCATATGGTCTGCTCTGTTAATTCTTACTCAAACACATTCATATATATGGTCAGACAGGAGTCTAAATCCCTCCTGATATAAAATTGCAACATGATGTAACCCAACACCAGTTACTATGGTGACAGACGTCTGGTTCAGGTCGTTGACCTTATTGGTTTGGAGAAGAAGAGGAAACAGAGCAAAAACAATATGTTTTCCTTCGGTAAACATAATCACTGATTGCTAGATGCTGTCACAGATGAATTGGATCGGATTGAATTATCCATAATATCATCGGAATACTAGGGAACGAGGTTAGTAGAATTTTCTGTTCCCCATTCGATCCAATTCCTCATCAATCAATCAATCAATCAATCAACCAATCAATCAATCAATCAATCAATCAATCAATCAATCAATCAATCAATCAATCAATCAATCAATCAATCAATCAATCAATCAATCAATCCGTGATAACAATCTTCCGAGAAGATGCATGGCGGCTGCAAACATGTCCCTCCAGGATGTTCTGTTTTAGGCCAAAGCTGTCCAATTCCTCTACTGTAATTTCTCTATTCCTCTACCTGACGCTCGAATTTCGTCTCCGATGTAAATGAATTTTTGTGACATTTTTTTCATTCTGAACCTTACGTAAATCTTTTTTTTTTTCGTTTTCAAATTTAAAACCAACCCCACTTCGACCAAATGTTAAACCACTTATCCTTACGTTACACAGGGGGCTGAAAGTTAAACGATTGTGGTTTTGTATGTTGTATGTTGCCCTAGATACTCGAACGACACATTGCCGCTCTCCAAATACGTCTTACTGGGCTGTAGCCATCACTTCAGCACTGTACAAACAAACGTCTCTATAATACCTCAGCGGTCTGAAACCTGCACGTCTCGGCTGTGAGTTATGTCCCGCACTTGAACTCGGCATCTCTGGCTGCCTGCCGACCGGAATGTGGAGCCGAGACGTGAGTGAAACAAGGCGGGAAGGTTTGACGTCTGGTGTCAGCGCGCCTCATGATGTCTGTGTTTGCTTCTAATAGGCCACACTGATTTAGTATTATGAATGACATCCTCTGAAGATCCCCAAACTAGTGCACGCAGGCGAATAAAAAAATCCAACCAAAACATTTCGCTAAACCACAGGAATATAAAGCCGGTATGGTGGATTTGTGGTGTGTGTAGTACATAGTGACTTTAACGACAAACCCCGGTACAGGCTGGCCTTTTGTGGCATTTACTAGTATTAGTCGACACTGTACTGAGCTCATTGAGTTCCATTGAGCTTCGGCAGCCTGGGTGCTGTCCTCCGTTGATACCACCTCTGGTGAACACCTGTTCCGGCTCCCCACTGTCGCTAGCTACAATATAATGGACTACGTTGGATGGCACCCAGACCAGAGCCTTGGAGGAGGTGATTTTGTCAGAGAACAGGCGAAAATCAATGCGC